ATATATATATATATATATATATATATATATATATATGTGATGTCGATTGTGAAAATATCTAAAATTAATATTACTCTCTTTCTTTCCTAGTTTCTTCACTCATTCGTTTCTTCATCTCTCATACGTCTCACTCTCATTCGTTTTGTTCTCTGTCAAGCTCAAAGGCGTACACGCGTACACGGAATCTTCGCATCACTCGCTCGCAAAACGAAATAGAAGAGTTTTTCAGCGACAACCGAGCGAATCTCATTGTGACGTTACGAGGATAGCAAAACCGCCGACGAACAGAGACTGCTCCACGTGTTCTCGTCTCCACGGTATTCTACCACCAACGAATTTCATGGTAATAGACGCGACTAATCTCTTCCTTCCACATCTGAGATATCGTTTCCACGGCGTCTTCGCTACGTTTTCCAAAGTTCTGAGATCCTGAGAGGAGAGCCGTGACAATCACCGAATCGGGACGAAATCTCAGAAGAAGAACAGTTTGCGCTTGGCTTCTGCAACCTCGTTGCCGAAGATCGCCGCATTCATCCTGAGCATTGTTCCCTCGCGGGCGAGAATTTCGAAAATATCGGGTGTTTGCTTGCTCTGAGAAGACGTACCAACGCGACTTGACCGGGCATCAGCCCCTGGAACCGTTCCTCCCGCGGAGTGGCTGCGCCGTCGTTCAGGATCTATAGATACGGATCACGTCCCTAATGGTCGCTCTGCAGAGTGGGCAGTGTCCGCCACCCTTGCCGCACCACTGCTGGATCGCGCAAGGGTAGCACATGCACATGTGACCGCACATGTACAGCACGCTGTCGATGCTTCTTTCGTAGCAGACCGAGCACTCGTTCGGTTGCCCGGGCGTAGGTTGCAGGCCCTCGCTCCATTGCTGCAAGTGGGAGGACGCCTGGGAGGTAAGCGTGCCGTCGAGACTTTGATAATTCACTGGTTCCACGTACGTGGACGAGCCTGTACTGGCCATGGTGCCTGTTAGAGGCGGCGAGGACTGTCTGGAAGATCCGGGGTGCGACGTGGACGCTGTGGACGACGTAGCTGTGACCGCTGGAAGGTGCACGTGTTGATTCCTGTGCCCAGCAGAGACGTACGTAGGCTGTGGCGTTGACGAGGACGGTGTAACATAACCAGTCTGAGGGGGAAGGTTCACCACCAGCACGGTGCCCCCACCGATGGCTGGTTTGAACTGAACCATCTCGGAAAATCTGGACAGTTCCGTGGCTG